TCTAATGAAAATGTATGGAGTTTAAAACACACTGGAGCACTTCTCACATGACATTACAAGCTGGAGTGTTTTTAGTTTGAGAGAAGAATTCAGCCTAAATATGCAGGATTTGTGTGTTAAATGTGTGAACGAGAGGAGGAAACAACATTAGAACAGAGATATATGGGCCCTTTAATACAATCAACGGAGATTTTCTTGGAGCCAGCTCACAATTGTGATTTTATCTTAGCCTTGAAGAGAGGTCATCTGTGTCTTCACTACAGTCGGTTAAATCTGCCAGTCACTCAGTCACAGTTTGACAGAGACAGGCCAATCGGAATCTTTGTTTGAGCATAGAGCTGTATTCAAGAGAAAATAGATGACTCACAATATGACAACTTAACCAAAAGTGCATATTGTCACAGGAGTGAGATTTGATTTGTATCACCGCATCGCCCATGCAGCCCGATGACAGTCCACATAAAACAACCAAGCTTTCAGTCAGGCTCTAAGCAAAAGAGAAACATTTCACCGAGGGACCACCAGTGCTTCAACGTAAGTGCCCAGAGTAGAGTTTAGGTGAGGACAGAAAAGTGGTTGTAATGGCTCTCCTGTACTACAGTCAAAAGCATGCCTCCAGTCTCCCTCCTCCGGGCCAGTGAGTTCTGTACGGTTGTGCGTGGCATTTATCTCCCCGCTTAGTCATAATGGGTTCCTCTTAGTGAGGGGCAGACAGCCTGTTAGTGGGCATATGTCTGGATCCTGGTTGAAGACACTGCTCCTCGGGGGATGATGGCTCAGTGGTGGTGAGCCGTGGTGCATTTGAGTGTGCACGTGGGCATGGGAAATTACAGTGCCAAGAGCAGCTGACTTCTGCACAACCTGCATTCAAACATGTTTAACACAGCGCAGTGTCCTTAATAGGCATATTAAAGGAGAACCCGCAAAATTAAACTAGAAATGATCTTTGGTGATGGTGCAATATAAAACAATGGATAATCATAGTAAATTATAAACTATGATCAAATAAAGGCATGCCTAAAATACAGTGTTAGAATATAATTAGAAGCAATTAATGAATCAAATTATAATCAAGATCGAAATTCAGAAAAAGAAAGAACAAAGTCTTTTGTGTTAAATGGCAATGGATAGAAGTCTGAATTTTTTATGTTTATGGAAAGAAAAAACTGTATACACTTTTTTAACATATCGTTCAGCCCTAATACAATACAGTATGGAAAGAATATGAGCGCAAAACCAGCAGCCCAAGTAAATGAAGTTCACTCAAGTGTATGAAGCAGGAAGATGGGACAAAGATGTGGGGAATACGGGAAGAGGTACAGACTCCGAGTGTGGGGAAAGTGAGAAACCCGAGAGGACCAGAGGAGTCCAGAGGAGACAGGGAGGAGGTCTGGCACAGCTCCAAGATCTGCTCTGGCCAAAGTCGACGCTCAGCCAACTGCCAGCTGGAAACAGTAAGGATGCTCTGGCCGACTGTGTGCACACTACAGCCTCGTGTACACGGGAGGGACAGTGCAAATCGGGTCAGGATACAAGAGTTTGGTTCAGACCTCACAGTATATGAGAGTCTTCATAGTCTCCACTGTCACAAGAGTAGAAAATATTTTGCGTAGGGCCAAAAATCAAAGATCAATAGATCGCGATCTCTACTTAGGTCGATCTCGATGATATGGCATAGGCATTTTAATCAACTGTACAGTCAATTGTTTTTAATTTACACTTTCATGTTTAGGAAAAAGCAGCTTGAGCCACAACGTGTTAGATCTGCAAAATGTGACTAAAAGTCCAGTGCCTCTCTCCCTCTGTGCGTGCATCTGCCTCTGTATGTGCGTTTGCCTCTGTTTGTGTGCATCTGCCTCTGTGTGCACTCACTCTCCCCACTCACTCTCCCCACTCCCCCCGCCCCCTCTGCCTTTCTGATCCAGCCGTAACGCCTCACCTTTCTCCTCTTTCTCTCCTCTGGTACTTCTCATCTTTATAATCTTTACAAAAAAATATTGTACAAACTCATTCCAAACTTTAAATTTCTCCGGAAATATTGGTCCTATCAACACTAAATAAAAACTGCAGTGACCCTGTCCTTTATGTCCACATGTCATATTTTTAATAAAATGAAAGATCGAATCAAAAATCCAGATCAATCAATCTGGGGGAAAAAATTGTCATTATTTTTTTCCCATATCTCCCAGCCCTAATTTTAAGTAATTCATTAAAAAAACGAACTAGGGCTGCATGATTTTAGAAAACACATTGTGAAGGCAATGGTTTGTGACATGTTGAATAAGCAGGAGCACAGTATAAAAGTAAAGTTATATAAAGTATATGAGAAAAGACTGAGATATGAACTGAGAAACAAATGCAAAAATTCCATGGATTTCAGATCAAGTTTGAAGAGTTTTAAAAACTTAAGAGTAAGCCATTTTTTCTTCCAACAACTCCAGGTAACTTGGCGGTATGGTGGCTGAGTGACTAGCACTTTCACCTCCAAAAAAGAAGGTTCCTGTGAGTTTCCTCTGGGCACTCAGGTTTCCTGCATCAACCCAACAACCTGCACAATAGGTATAATCCTCCAGATAAGGTAGTCCTGACCAAGCCTAGCTCAAGATCTGGAGATGGGTGACTAGGCAATGCCCAGTGCTCTTGACAGGTTTCCACAGCGAAGGATGGGTCAAATGCAGAGGACAATTTTCCCTACAGGGACATTAAGGGATACATTTATCTTAACTCACTCCATGCTTTCTTCTCTGAGTTGTTACACTCATAAATCTTAATCTTTTTAATCCTAAATAAAATAATTTGTCAATTAATAAAGAATGTGGTTGACTGTGACACTATCGACCAATTAATTGAATCAAGGACTACAGCCTTAGTAGAAATAATACTTACTCTTATTTCAGTACAAAGGTCATATCCAGACAAAAGACACTTATCTATATTTCTGTAATAAACGTGTATTGCCCAGCTGAAAAGCAGAACACTACAAAGGGTTTTCCTCACTGTTCAGACGAATGACATCAGTGCGTCTGAACCTCTTCTTAGAGGTCATGGCGGCGCTGTCTTGTGTCTGTGCCAGAGGAGACCAGGGAAGCCGCTTAAAACCATCTCCTTAAGTCTCCTCCCTTTGGCTGCCCATGTCTGGTGTATCCTCTTTAGCAAAACATTACATAATTGTTTGCATGTAGCCAGGCTAACACAAGTCTACAGGGACATCAACTAAAATAGCCCCAAATAAATGGCAGCATTTACTTTGAAACTCAGTCTATAAAAAATTCAAAGATGAGTTTCATCTTGAAGTGAAGTTTTATTCATCATCTAATCAGTGATGCTCAAACACAGATGTTGGCACTGGCCCATTTCCTTTAGCTCTCTGAGTGCTGGGGAGTGGTAAAAGCAGTATCCTCTTTTAAGGGTAAAGTCTAAGGAAAAAGCAGTGAGTTCATAATTCACACTAAATAATTCACATCCTCTTATCAATCTTTGCTCAGGTGACGGAACAACAGAGCAGGGCTTCATTTGTAAATGGTAAATGGTCATATTTATATACAGCTTTTCTACTTCAAGGCACACAAAACACTTCACATCAAGGAACCACTCACCCACAAACCAGTTTACAATACACAGACATTGGGGTGAGGAGGGTTAAGTGTCTTGCCCAAGAACACAAGACACCCAGAGATGGAAACACGCAGCCAACTTGTGAGCTAGTGGATCTATGTCTAAGAAATTTGAACGGCCAACCTTCAGATTAAAATATGTGCACTCTAACAATTGAACAACTGTGACTACTGTAAATCAGTAAAAGTTTAAACGCTCTATCTGGACCCCTTGAAGTCCGAAATAAACCTTGTTTGAGTAGTTACAGAAACGCATGTGGACTGAAGTCATGAGTTTGGGGTTGCCAGAAGACACCTTTATAATTTCTGAGATACTTCTCGGATCCTTTTCTGAATTCTTTACCCTTAAAAATCAAATAGGAAATGCAATCCCCCATAGAGAACCTAAAATTAAGCGCCGCAACAAAAAACGATGCAAAGGTAGATGTCTATATGTCACATGATCCTCATGCTAAAGTGCTGTCACTTAGTAATATTAACAGCCTATGAGCCCAAACCTCAAACCTGGCCTTCTATTTTTTCATTGGAAGACAAAGTGCAGCCTGAAACCCAGTTATTACAAAGGTATCAATAAAGTATGTAACAAGCACATGAATAAAGAAATGAATTACAGGATTGTCCTCAAAGATATGTTAACTAAAAGGCTAGTATTGTTATAGTAAGTTACATGCAGATCGAACAAATTCAGCTTCACATAAAGTTAAAATCACGCCTAAATCAAATGCTTAAAAAAAAACTACGAATAATCAATCACCTTAATGCAGTCGTGAATCACAAACCGCGCCCTCTAGCGGACAAACTCGCAGTTACAACCGGTCTCTTGGAGGTTATTCCACTCATCGCATTTTAATGACAACCACACCAGCGCACCGTAATCACATTGGCGTTCACCCGGCAGAGATGCAGAGGCCACCGGGGCCCGCGCCACTGCGAACCGGGCTCGTGTGGCCCCGGTACGGGCACACGAGCCCGCACCTCCACCAAACCAGAGCAATGACTTCTGGGGAGGAACGTGTCAACCCAAATAGACTGCAAAATCTATCACGAACGTCATAACTCCCCGAGAGCCATTTAGAACACAGCAAAACCAGTATCCCTGCAACGCAATCAAAGTGCAAATCTAAAATGCAAAACGTACAAATTGTAGCAGTAAAAGTCACGCGTTTTTTGCCGTGTTAAATCCGGTGTCGCTCCACATTTGCCGGTTCCACTTCAGGTGCAGAGATCAACAGCCTCATGTATGAACTTCATGACGTAAGCCTGTTATAACATGTACCGACACGTTCAAAGTTGGCGTTATAAAAGCACGTAAATGCGATTTTAAGCTTAATTAAAACTTCCCCCAAAAAAGCAAAACAGGGGCGGAAGATACTGCACTTGACTCACCTTGAGCGGCCGTTCCTCGGGTGCTGCTGAATACACTTGCTATCAAAGTGGCCACATACCAAATCATAGTACTATTGCCGACCAGAAATAAACCTCATCATATCTCAAAGTGCCCTTTTCGGTGAATCTCTCATTGCCAAGTTGCTCCAGGACGGACTGTCGCGGGCCGGTATCCTGTCTCGTCGTTACCCGAGCCCTGGACACTTTTCCAGCGGCGCGTTGCCTCTCTGTTCCCCTCTCCTCCGCTCTCCTCTCGCATCCTGAGACAGATCACCTGCGCCAATGGGACGAGAGAGCGGTCGACGTCGCGTGAAACCAAGCAGCAGCCTTTAGATAGCCGCTGGCCCGCCTCCGCACGCCTCTCATTGGGGGAGGTGTGGAGGCGTGCGTCCTCTGATTGGTTACCTGCGCTGTCCGTCACTGCGCCCGCTTGAGGTGTTTGGAAGATGGAGAAAAACTGGGAAAAAGACGTGATGTGACGGACTTGCCCTGGGATCCCCCACATTTGAGAGGCGGATTGTGAGTAGCATCGCCTCTAGTCATTTTGGTTTAGTGTAGGGTGCAATAAGCAAGTCACTACAGGCAATATCATAGGTCTTTCACTGATGTAGGTGAAGAGTGGATCATCATCTATACGGCTATCGATAGAAAACCCCGTTATAATGCTAATTTTATGCTACAGTTGAGATTTATCATGATTAAAGCATAAAAGCAACCAAAACTATTTTAAAACACTTCCACATAGGCCTAGAGTCTACTACACCAGACTGAGATGGCCTTGTAACTATATCTATACCTAGTGACTAAAATGTTTGCAGTAGCATTAGCAATTAACAATAAAAACATCTTTTTGAATAGTCAAACGTGCTCAAAATGTCAACTGCTAACAGCAAGTTTAAATCTAGTAATACATTCAGTTGTCTAACCCCAAAATGAACATTATAATATTGCATAGTTGATTATTAGTCATCTATGTACTTAAACCTTCATGCAATTATAATAGGCCTAAGCTCATTTACAAAACAGTATTAGAAATACGTGCAACAGGTGGCTTGTATGAACCCAAATTCAACCCCAGATCAGATGTAACTCTCATTTGTAATACCTTTTATGCTAATGCCAACCGCCCCATCTCAATTTTCCACTAGATTTCTTGTAGAGCAAACCTATAACTCATACTGTGTGGTAAAAATCTAATCATCTGAACAGTTTTTCTCACAATGCCTTGAATGCAGCACCGGGGGAGTCTGTTCAAGGTGGGTTGGAGTGTGTGGAGCTGTGGTGGAGCTGCAGTATCATCCTGCGCAATGAGAGGAGCGGAATCCTCTCACCACCCCGAGCCCCACGCAACATCACCCACATCCATAAATATGCCAATCCATACTGGGATCAATAGAGAATCTAGTCCATAAAATATTGATAAGATATTACTGTCAATGCATATTTCATCAACTTGTTACATGTGACTTAAAGGGCCCATATTACTCTATTTTCTGATCTATGTTATGTTGTCTCCTCATCAAAAACAGACCTGGAGTTGTGTTTTGTTTCATTCACACATTTAACTCACAAACCCTGCATATTTAGGCTGAGTTTTTCTCTCAAACGGAAAACACTTTGTACCACCTGGTGATGTCATGGGGTAATACAGGCAGAGCTCCACTGTGTTTTTAAACTCCATACAGCTTCTTTAAAATCATCTGGATGAATTGTCTCTGTACTGAACTAAAGGTAAAAAGTAGCTGTTGAAAACTTGAAAACTACCGCTTCATGACATCACAAGGTGGAAGCAGAGCTTTTTGAGCTTGCTTTTTGAGGTGCGGACAGATGCAGACATAAAAGGTTACTCAAACGTGTGGATGAAACTCGAGCACAACTCCTCTACTATGTCTTTGAGGAGATAACATTATAACATGGCTTCAAGTGATGAAGAGTCAATTTTGTGTAATATAGGATCTGTAAAGGGAGGGTATGTAGTCTGTGCTCTATGGTTTAAAAAAAAAAAAAAAAGTACATACATAAGTAAACCTAGGTCTAGAGCCTTGAGTGGCAAATATTAGTATAAACACTGAAATATATAAACCAAATACACAAAACCTATGAAACCCCTCTACATGGTCCTCCCCTAGAGGTTTTAAAAATGGCTGACCTGGGCATGCCCCCTCTTTTGTCTCCAGACCATGTGGAGGAACAGGTAAGTAAGTGAATGTATGTATGATTTATTGATAAAACGATGTTACATTGCAGCCACCACACATGGCGGGATTTAATCTTCACACTTAGTTGTGGGCGGCTGGCCTACAGCAAACAACAAATGTTTTACTGGAGCAGAGAAGAGGACTTTAAATCTTTGGAGCTTCATTGGTCTTCAAGTAGGCACCCCCTTTCACCGGTGTTTCGTCAGTTAGCCCACAACACCTCCTGGGGACTTGATGGCAGAACCAGCAACCACCTCCTCCATCCCTCTGATCTTCTACACTCAACTCTATGCTCCCTTTCATCTGCCAGCTTGGTTGCACTTTTGCTCATTCCTTGTAAGCCAAATCCTTAATATGGTTTCTGCCTGCTTTGTAATGTTCCCAGTCGACGTCTTACGGGTAGGACCAAGGGCCTCAAGCACCTTCCACACCCCCGACAACCCACTTCCACATTTCCAGTCCTTCTGCTGGATTTCAAAGACCCAAGGACTGATACTTCTCTCGCTTTTGCTTTTGCTCATGTGCCTCCTCAATTCTTTCCTCCTAGGGTACAGTTAATTCCACAAGAGCCACCTGTTTGGTTACCTTTGACCAAATTACAATGTCAGGCCGGTTGGTTTCAAAGATCTCTGCTGAGAATTTAAATTGTCTTCTGAGATCTACTCTCATGTGCCAATCATCTGCAGACGCAAAAATCCTCATGATCCCAGTCTCTTTCGCAGCCACCTGCCCTGGTCTAAGGAAAGTGATGAGCTGGGATCCTTTGGTCTTGAGTGTAGTCCTCTTTTTCTTCCTTTCTTTCTCCAGTCCCTCAGGCAGCTGGACCAACACCTGGTCATGCCACCATCTAAACCTCTGTCAGGCTAATCTGACAAGAGGAAAGGATATGCTCTAGGTTGGCTGCTCTCTAACATACCTCACACTGTGTATTTTCAGTCAGTCTCCACCTTTGGAGGTTCAGTGGTATTGGAAAGACTTTGTAAACAGAGCAAAGCAAAAACTTAATTCACTGTTCCTCCATGTTCTAGAGCTCTTAGGGACCTTACTTAGGGACCTTTCCTGGGTACCTTCCCAACACATCCAACTGCCTTGTTGCCTCATCCCCACTGCCCTGGCTAATCTGACCTCTTCCTCTAACGCTTGCACCTCTCTCTGCACCATACTCCAACGATCTTTCCTATTTACCTCTTTCCAACTTGCCCTAGTAACGCAACCAAGACCCAGTCTCCCCTTGTTAAGTGTTCCCACAATACCACTGTGTTGCAGGCGCTCTTCTGTCTCTCTGTGTCTCACTAGCAGTCCACTTCCACCCCGTACACACTCTGATGTCTGCCCGTCAAACTGCCTCATCCTAACCATCATAGCTAATTGCACCTTTGCTGTCTTAAACTCCTCAACAACACCTGTTAATGGCATTTGAAGTTTGCTTCCTCAGCTGTACAGGTCAACTGAGCAAAAACTCCTGGGAACAGACAACCTCCTCCTCAAATAGTTGTTTGTCTTCCTTTCCAAAAACTCTACTGTTGAAAGGAGGACCTGATACACAAGCAACATCCCCAGGAGTCTTGGAAGCACTCTGTGTTGGTAACCCCCGGCCTTGAAGGCCACTTTTCTCCAGGGCTTTCATCCATGTTTCTGCTTGGTTGAGCATTTCCTTCACACTTGCCTTATGATTTAGCTCAGCCCTGTACCATTTTCCCAGACACGTTACTGGCTTTTCTGTGAAACAAAACTGATCCTGGACATGGCCTTTCTTTAAAACAAGACTTCTTGATTTGGATAGCTTGAACTGCATTCTGGCAGCTTCAGTAAGCTTCACTAGATCCTCCAAGATCCAGCTACCTTCTGGCACTGATCTTGCCCCTAATCAGGGCTTGCTGAGCTCCAATTGCATGTATGGCACCTTGTCTAGGTTTTTCCACAGACTTCACAAGGAGTGTGTAAGTGTGTGAAATGAAATGACAAATAAAGTATATTTAAATTAATAATGTGTGTGTAACTGAACTAACAAAACAAAACTCTGAATCATTGGACCAGCAGTTTAGCTGGTTATGGTAAACATATGTACCCTTCTGTTAAGTTCTGATTAAATATAAACATAAGCTTAAACATGCAAAATAATGAACACATATACATTTAAAATGTTTACTGATTACAATGTTTCAGTAAGGTGACCTGTAAATAAGTAAGCAAGTGAACTGAATTGTATTCAAATTTGTACTTACTCTCTTTTGTTGTTTGCTTTCAGGCTTCAGGTGCTCCGGCTAAAAGAGTCCCTTGGGTGCAGGAGCACCTGAAGAAGGTTCCGGGGCAGTCAACCATGTACTTAGGGGGGAGGGGTGTTTACCTTTTCAACATAGTATTTTCTAAACCTGTCACTGCTAAATTAAGAATAAAGAGTTATATAAGTGTATTAGATTTGATTGAATATATGATAACACAGTGTTTACATTAGCTAACTTTAAAAATATTGATATTACTTACCTGTCAGGTAAATACCTGGTTTAACTAACGAGTTTGCCAGATTAAGGGAAGTGCTGTCTTAAAGGATCCAACCCCAGTTTATCCATGTTAAGGTACTGTGTATTGCTGGGTTTAGCTTTGGCACTCTTTTGAAATATTTCTTTTTTGTGATACTGGACTAATGGGCTCCGTGCTACTTAAGGTTGCTTTCCGGGCTATTACACCTTCCTTTAAATGAAATGGGTCATTTTTCAAGATGACCAGCAAGCTGCTGGTATAACCTTTTATATTTTTTCAAGTAGGCCTAAGTATATCACAATTATATCATGATAATTATGAAAGTTGCTGACACTTTAAAGGTGTTATGGATATGAATAATGATAAATTGAATATTATCAATAGATTCCATATTTAAACAACAATTATGGTGTTGTACTTTAGTGAAAGTGAAAACAATAATGATCTAGAAGAAAACATTATGGATATGTATTTATCTTTT